GGACCAGCCAAGGACCAGCCAAGGACCAGCCAAGGACCAGCCAATGACCAGCCAAGGACCAGCCAATGGCCAGCTAAGGACGAGCTGCGGACCAGCCAAGGGCCCATTAAGAAAGTGGTGAAGTTTGGAATGGCTACTACTGTTTTTTAACCCATGCATGATAAAAACATGAAGACGTTGAGCTTTCTCTGTTTTTTTTTAACCCGGTTTTCTTTATTTCACTCGTTACATTTGAGGATGGACACAAAACGGAGACAGACACCATCACTGAACCACTTTAGCATCAGAAAACAAAGAGCTTCATCTCAATAAAAAACTAAGAGCAACTGCCAGGTGTAAGTATTCAGCCACCTTTGCTCTGATAACGCTAAAGGAATCACCAGATTAAAGTACAGAGGAGGTTTTTCTCTGGAAGGTCTCCTGAACCTGGCTGTCGTTCAGACCGGACGCGTTTCACGCATCAAAGATGTGTCAAGCTGGAGGCTTGGTACCAGGCCTCAGAATCTCTCCACGTTTTCGAGACACGTGTTTGGAGGACTTCCCCTCAGATGTTTTCCTTCCAGATTCAGTCAGAAAAAATAAATAAATAAAAGTTCAGTTTTTCCTTCCTCTTCAGATGAAACCCATCGGAGCACGGAACACTCTGAAACGTTCAAAGACTGCACGAAAACCTGACGCCCCAAATGCAGTCGGTCTAAGCGCACCTTCACTGGGATTATGAGGTCCAAACTGGGGAGGGGGAAGTCTCAGACGCTCAGGGAGATGCTGTTATATGGAAAATAAGAGCCGATGATCGTTTTCTCAAAGGGGTGGAAGTGAATCATTAGTTGAGTCGCTGCAGAGAAAAAGGTGCAGCTGTGGGAATGGCAGTTTCACTCATGCAGACTCACATGTTCTCCTGCAACAGGAGAAATCAGAGGAAGTCCATAACATCTACCGGTATTACATAAATGAAGTGTCCCATGCTAGATCTTGAAGCTTCTCTCATTCCTGCATTAGCCCAGAGTCCAGATAAGCACTGGGTTCCTTTAACATCAGCAGACTTGATTTTTCTGCTGTTAGCTAACGGAGCAGCAGGCGGCGTAACTGAAGCTAAGGGGCTAATGTGAAGCAGCTGTTCACAGCGCCGCTTCAGACCAATAATCGATGAGCAAACATTACATCAGTGGGCCTACTGGTTAAAGGTAGCATGAAGTCCCCCTCCGTGACTTAAATCAGAGACAAATAAATAAATCTGCCATTTTTTTCATGTTTGCAGTGAAGAAAGGAAACAAATCAGGAACCAAGAAGATGCTTCTGACAAAAAAAGCAAAATCCGTTTCTTCCTTTGTTTCTTGAAAGCGTCTCTGTAAACCAATCAGGAGGGTTGGCGGAGCCATTGGGTGTGAGTGTGTCGATGGGTGAGTGTGTATGTGGGTGCGGCTCCTCTGTCCGCCGCTCTACCCCCAGCTGAGGGCAGCAGTCAGGAGCAGCAATCCCGGCGTAGCGCCAACTGATGCGGCGCCCCCTGTTCCAGATGATCCCAGGTTGGAGACCGTGGCTCTCTCTGAGTACAGCGAGATCACATCAAACTGGTCTCCTTCCTCTGACTCCTCCTCTTCCTCCGTCTGAAACAACTCGTCTTCCTCGCTCTCAACCACCTGTTGGGATGAAGGCAGAGTGAGGAGAGAAAGATTATTGTTCAAAACGGGACTTAAAAAACTAAAACTAAAAAAGTCATGGAGAGTGACTTATAATGGGGAATCAATTATATTTCCTCCTTTTAGACTTTCACATTGCAAGAGAGGAAACTAAAAAAATGAAGCAAATTAACTTTAAAAATGATCTTAGAAAACTTCTACATCAGAAAAATCTAAGAATAACTTAAAGTAGTAATGCAAAAGTTCAAACAATATTTTGTTTGGAAAATCAGTTTTTCACAGATTTTGCAAATGTGCTGCTGTTGCTGCAGTCCAGTTACGCCAGACTGATCCAGATACGGACCACCCAGGAGAGCACGGGGTTAAATATTAAAATAACATTTTTAAAACTCAGTCTCGTAAAAAATGTGGAAAAATAAAAACTGAACAAAAAAAAATCTATGAAATAAATTAATTCTAAATTTTGGAAACATGTTATAAATAACTGTTAAAACCTTTTTTAAAAAAATCAAAATTATTTCTAAATTTCCATTTTTGAATCGTGTTTTCTTCAAATGTCTCTTGTTCTTTGTTTGGAATAATATTGGAACATCTCTCTCCATAGAGCAGTGAATAAAGTGCAGCAGCATGAACAGCTTTCCATACACTGAGCTAAACATCAGAGCTTCAGCTTGACTTTTCACCCAGGCTTTTTAACACCATGCAGACTAAAAGGCATGGCTCACTGACGATTGTTCAATATTTTCTTTATTTAAGTGCCTGCTGTTGTTCTCTATCAAGGTTTTTAAAACAATCAGTCTTTAAGGAAATACAGATACCCATTGAATTCACAATCTGACCCCCTGTGATGCCTCTATTACACCCAATTTTTACAAACCAAAGTTCAACCTCAGGCAGTTTTTAACACCTGCAACATGTCCTACATGTACCTCTCTTAATCTAATATTTTTATTCCTCCAAATATTACCTAATAAAAGGAAGACCACTTTAACTCCTGCTCTGTCTGTGTCAACAGACCGGTCCTCCCCACTGGCCTCAGATACCGCCCTCGGTTAGTGCACCGGCAGAGCTGAGTGGTTTGATGTTTAAAACATGTTTACGGAGAAAATTCCAGTCTGCAAAGTTCATCATCAACAACTCATACTAAAGCGGCATGCTAACGTTAGCCTCACATTTCAGCAAATGCAGATAAAGACCTTCTGACAACAGCTGGAAGTAAAAAAGAAACTGAGGATAGGAGTCATTTAGGGTTGTTCTATGATTGACCTGTCTACTTTCCCATCTACATTCAGTTTGATACTTTTTCTACGCTGTGCAGCCGTTCTCTATTGTAGCCAGTATTCTGGAAGACTCTAGGGGGCAGCATAGGGTAAAAGCTGCAAGCTTACAACACCACAACACCCAGTAGAAGGAGAAAACACAGCAGTCTACAACACTTTCAGTGCCTCGTTGTGTCATCCAAGAATAACAGTCATTTCTAGTTGGTCATTGTTTCTACACCAGAGTGATATTTATAGGCCAAATAAAAACATGTCAGTAGATAGTTGTATCTTCCAACTGCTGCCAGTAACAGCATCTGATCAGGGTCAAAAAGGTATAATCAGGAAAAAATTCATGAAAGGATGAAAACGTAAAACTCATCACTAAAAGATGGGATATTTTACAGTTTAATCTTCTACAAACAGATCCCTTTGCAGTACAACTGAGATTGAAATAATCCTATCCTGTTTCGTGTTTTGTCTTGTTACACGTGTTGTTACTTTAAAGTGCCTTGAGATTAGTGTTGTGAATTGGCGCCATATAAATAAACTGAATTGAATTGTTACGTGTTTTGTCCTGTTACATGTGTTATCCTGTTAGACAAGTTGTTCTTTTATGTGTTTTGTCCTGTTCCACGTGTTGTTACTGTAAAGTGCCTTGAGATGACGTGTTGTAAATTGAATTGTTATGTGCTTTGTCCTGTTACATGTGTTACCCTGTTAGACAAGTTGTTCTTTTATGTGTTTTGTCCTGTTCCACGTGTTGTTACTGTAAAGTGCCTTGAGATGACGTGTTGTAAATTGAATTGTTATGTGCTTTGTCCTGTTACATGTGTTACCCTGTTAGACAAGTTGTTCTTTTATGTGTTTTGTCCTGTTCCACGTGTTGTTACTGTAAAGTGCCTTGAGATGACGTGTTGTAAATTGAATTGTTATGTGCTTTGTC